CTTTTAGAACTCTTAAAGGGCCTGGAGTCAGTCAGCACCAAGGGGTTAAGGATAGCTGATGAGCAGATCACAAATTAATGGCCGGATTTGTGTTGTACGGTGAGGTAGAGGGGGATTGTGGGCAGGGGTTTCCAGGGGCCGCAGCCCAGCACCCCTCTAGATCCAGCCTTGTGGCATTTAATTGCTTGGAGAAGCCAGAAGTCGCTGCATTCGCTGCTGGTGCTATTGCAAACACAGCATCCTTCCAGACATGGATAGGCCTGGCTTGTCTATACTTGCATTGACATTCCTGGGCCACATGCAGCCCCCAGCGGGACACCCCTGATCTAGTGAATGTCTTTTGTATTTTTTATTGCTTGTAGAAACTTGAATGGGGTGAAGGGATGCATGGGATACCCTGAGAACACTAAACAACCAGAGGACACTTCTCTCCTTATTACTTAACAGTTTCTGAAGATAGGGGCGGACAGGATGACTGGAATAAAGTTCTCAAAAGGGGAACCAACAACGCAGTCACTAGGGCTCAGAATCTAGCTCAGTACTCACAATGCCATAGGATCATTGGTTGCCTACCTCCGATATCTACCAAGCACTCTACAGTGAGGGGGGAAACACAGCTCACAATACCACAGGACAGCTGGACACCCTCCTCCAACTTCCACTAAGCACTCTTCAGCGTGCCTTCCAGACCAAAAGAATAAAAATCGTAAGCTAATGCCCTTGAAACAGTCCATCCAATCTATGCTTCAGATGGGACCTCAGTGAACTTCTAGCAACATTTCAGTAAGCTTCCCTAGGGGCAGCAGACCTTTAGCCAGGGGCTCCTCCTGCAGGACTGGTCTCGGACCAAGACAACTCCTACTCCAGACCTCAGACTATTTATGTGCTCTCCAGCCACCTACTGGGCACACCTCCCCAGGGATTGGCTGAGTCTCCATAAATATTCAAACTGCCCTTCTGCTATTCCTCCCACTGTGATTCCAGAACCCTCTAAAATGCAATGGAAAATAATCAGACCAGCAGTCTGTGGAACACTGAGCAAGCTAAAGCAATCAACAACTGTTCCACTAGCTACAGAGTAGCCAAGCAAAATTTCCCTAGCAGCCTATACTCTAACTTAGAGGGTGCTATACACACAATCCTCTGCCCAGACTCCTGTTATGAAAGATGGAATATTGCTGTAAAGTCTGATCACATAATCATTGCACTGGGTCCAGGCTGGACTTGCGCTTCTGAGGTGCTGTAATGCATGCTGACAAATTTTCATACCCTTTAATTTCAATATCCCAGCCCTTATAACATAAAGAAAGGAGATGGCAGCAGGGGACCTGGTGTGTGATGACCTGCAGTGGATTACAGCACCATGTGCTTTTTTAACACACCTCTACTGCAGAGAATACTGCTTTGAGCTGCCATGGTACATCAGTCACATGACCATATACCTAGTCACTGGGTTAAAGGACTTTTGCTTTTGGGGTAGGGAAGAGAGAGTTGCAGGTTTAGACAGTAAAATCTGAAATACCGGTCTGCTTACTCATTCAGAGCCCATAGCTTTAAAAGCACTGAATATTACTGCCAGGCAAATTAGAATTTTAGGAAGGAGAGGTCAGCCATCTCCCAGTACATGTTTACATTAAACAAGCTCACATAGTACACTGATGAGTCCTACCTAGGATGAAACAGACCAATGTCTGTTATATTTTGTGCAATAAACAGCAAAATCAACATTATAAAAACCACCTTTATTACAGTTTACTGTCAGATCAAGCACATGATGATTCTGTAGTTCTCTTGACAATTTCATACATGTCACAATACAATCTTTGGTTGTTTTTCAACTATTGTCTTTGATGTAAAAGATGACATAGTTAAACAATTATACAAAAAATGTTAATATTGAACCAGCAAAGTCAATGTAATCAATATAATATATAATCAAGTGTAAAATATGAGCAAAGTATGTCACTCACTGCTCTCTCAACTGGCCTATAACAATGTTTACATATATAGACGTCTCTGCTTTAAATATACTCCTTAGCCTATTCCAACTTCACACCTATGTAGTCCTGTCTTTTGGTTTCATATCCTGAATTTAGTAATCCCAATGTGTACACTACTATGCCCCAAACCTGCTTAGTAAACCAATACTTTATTAAATCCATAGATACTACAGGAAAACCCCACTGCCTTGGATTTGTTAAATTATATGGCCCCCGGGATAGGAAATTAGTATAAAGAAAAGGTCAGATTAAAACAGTGGTCCCCAAATTCTGCCCCTTTGCTAGACATTATTCAGCCTTTGAGGCACTATTCATCCCACTAATACAAGGCACTATTCTTCCCACTGACACCAACAGTGGGGCATAATTCCTGCTAGTGATACCAATGATAGGGCACTATTCCTTCCACTGACACCAATGAGGGGAGACTCTTCCTCCTCCCACTGACCACAAGTACTATGTCATTTATATACTTCCAATGACCACCAAGCCTGAGACATTGCTCATTCCCATTTTATCTGGGACATTTTCTACTCCCACTGGCCACAATCTGGTTCCCTACAGTCTGAAGGTCAGTAAACTGGCCATTTGTGTAGACAGTTTGGAGACGCCTAGATTGAAGGAATCCTCTCCTGAAAAACAAATTGAAATATACTTTAAATGCTGATCACCAATTTTGCAAATGCTAGTTACCTGGCTCTCATTCTGATTCTCTGGCTTTGGAAATTTCAGCCACTAACCTAGAGGGAGTATGCAGGTTAGGAATTTACACTGTATATCTTGGTCTAATTACTTTCCCTGGGTCACTAATTCAGAAAATGTTGAAGCCAGGGGATAAATATAATAAATTCATTCATTAAAGGCCTACTTTCTGTATCATCCATAAAAAAATGTATATTTAGTGGTCAGTTGGATTTTCCCCTCAATCTCTCATAGTTTAAAAGGAGATTTTAATTGGCTTCTACAAGCATATCTGTTTGGTCCAATTTTTCCTTTAGACACTTTCATAAATCACAACTACAACATACTTATTGGTCCCATGACTTTACTAAACATGAGATCACTCTTTTCAATTTGATTCCCTTTGATCGGCCTGAGTTGTCTCAGTTCTGGACTATCCCGGCCTATTGGTGCTCTCCTCGAAAAGGACCAACTCTGTTTATTACTCATTTTACTATCCATGTGGGATGGACGGGGGTCTGCTTCAAAGATGCATGGAGTCCCAATTTTGCCATTCTAAACTACCATATTGTGCTGCAAACATGATGTCAAAGCCTCATTAAATTGAGGTTTGTCTTTCACTATGTGTACCAGATTTGTGATGGTCTCAGTGAGGGCCCAGTCACACAATTTATGCTTTACGGTAACACAAATGCCACAATTCACTTTACAATGCCTTACTATGCTGCATTACCATAGCCCATTTCTTCTGAATGGGCCCTAACACAGGAGATGCCACTCCTGCTATTTTATTTTCACCTTTTTACATACAGTACATTGTGGTGGGTTGCCGTGCATTGTATACGTTTATTGAGGTGCCATTCAAGATGAATAGCAAGGCACATGCACAACACAATGCAGTGCACTACAGTAAAGCATTTAGTACTGCATACATGCACACAATAAAACAGATCATTATGTGTGATAGGGCCCCTAAGAACAACTAAAACATAATTTAGTTATTCCTATCAATTTAAGGAATATCATGGTGATAAGTAGCGATAAGTAACAATAAGTATCCTTTAACAGCCTGAGACTTTTTTTTTTTTCATTTTAAAGTGTCAGTAATCCCAAAAACAAAATGTAACATATTACAGTCTATCAGTCCTTAGATATGGTGGTTACATTAGTTTTCTTTTATTTAGACTTTTTTGCTTCTATTTTCACCTGTGATCTGACCAGTAAGTCTGTTATTTTTCAACTTCCTTTAAAAGACCAAGCTGTCCAGCAGAAAAGGCAGTTAAGGGTTGAGACAAACCATTTAACACTGACAGAGGTGCTTATTATGGTCAGCTTTTTTTAAATATAATTTTATTGGTTTTATGTAAATCACAAAAGAAAAAAAAATATGTTTATGTGACTGTTAAAAAAAGTGATAGCTGCAGTTAGGCTTTTTAGTTTGTTAGTCACTTATGAAATGCCCATTGAAATCTACTTGTCCATCTAACACAACTTCACAGATTAACAATACTACTGTCCAGGGGGGCTATGCTTCTTCCCCATAGATACAGCAGAGGACTGAAAGTAGTCACCTTAAGACAGGAAACGTGTTACTGGCCGGATCACTAGAAGGAAATAAAGGAAAAAAGACACAAAACAAGAAAATCGAATGCAGCCACCACATCTATGGATAGGTAAGCTGTAATATATTCCATTTTTGTGAATAGTTGGGACATACCAGCCCATAAATAGTCAATGAAGCACCAGCCTGTACTGCTAAATGCCAGATTTGCCAGGCTACCAGACTGGGCTTGGGATTAATCTGTGACAGCATATGAATTACATGCGTATTTTTTTTTTTCTTTAAACTCAATTTCATTTTTTTTTTTTTTTTTTTTTACTGCAGATGCATTCATCAAGTTTGCCAAATGAGAAGCCAACAGTATATTTTTTTACACAGTAAGTTGCTGCTGTCTATTCAAGGCCTAGAAATCCTACCAAAAGCTATTGCAGTAAGCAGTTATGAAACTATCACCATGGTAACAAGGTACCTGCAAAGTTATCCATATCCTTGAATCCTATCTCTTGTAAGTAGATAGAAAGCATTGACAGAATAAGAATTTAGAACAATGTACCGTATACATTCCATAGAGGGATTTCAAATGTCTTTAATGTACTGTTTATGGTTTCAGAAAATATATCTGCTGCTGAGAATAGCATCAGCATGGAAAAGACACAAAGTGTAAGACGCAGATTGAATAAAAACACCACAGAACCCATGAGGTCCTCTTCTTAGTAGAAGTTACAGCTTCTGGGCCAGCCAGTAGCAAGAATTCAGTCCTATTTACAGTACTCCTTGCGTAGCTCTGCAGGAAAAAAAGCATAATGTTACTTTCTTCTGTTACTGAAAAAAATCCTTTCCATAGCTGTAAAGAACTCCTTCCAAAGAGATATAATAAAGTAAAACTGCATTATCAAAGAGAAGAATAGGCACCGCTCACCAACCCAGTACATTGAGTAGATGAATGGGGTGTCAGCCAGCGCTGTTCCAGCCACACCCCATGACATGACAGAGGTGGGTGGGGCGAAGTCCCCAGTGTGTGGGCAAAACATGTCATGGAGTGTGGCTGGAGTGTATCAGCTAAGGCCACATTCATCTACATACTAATGCACTGGGTTGGTGAGCAGCGCCTTTTCTTCTCTTTGATAATGCTCTCACACCTCTGATTGGTGCACGGATGCCAGCACTCTTCACTGCAACCGGACGGGAGATCTCTGTCTCAGCTTAGAGCGGCACTGCAAGTTTCATTTGGATCAAATTAAAACTGCACTTTATTCCACAGAGGATTGTAGGCCTGGCTCTATTCTGCCCATATCAGAATTGGAATGACCCTCTTGGAATCAATTTAAAGTGGAACTAAACCCATCGACAAACTTACAATGTACTGTATTTCCCAAAACAGTTACATTTAAAATATGCATAGAATGATAGTTATCCAGGTTGCTTGTGCTCTTAACCGAACTGTCAAGCCATCAAGTAGCTGGACTAATCACATGTGCAGCACCATGGCAACTGCAGATCAAATAGAGGCTACAGATTCTGTGGCTGTAAAGTATAGGAGGGTTTAGTTCCACTTTAAGGCTCGCTCTAAAAGATTAGTTTTAAACAGCAGAATTCCATGCCCAACCCAGTGAGGATCATTTCACTGCTCTGTAGCCACACTCCTCCCCTTTGCCAAGCCGGTCCCCAGAGACTGAGGTTTTCATAGCGTCTCAGCTAACAATCTTCTTGCTGTGTGTACAGTGCATACTTTGAACTGTTTTCTGCTCTGGATCTTTCTTTTATGATGTAGATGAATCTTGCCTGTTATAAGAATCAGCTTCAGCCAAAGCTACCAATTAGTGGTCAGAATAAGAGAGCAAGAGGTTTACTTACCGAGGTCTAAGTCAATGTTCTTTGGCGTGAAGGGTCTGTCCATGGCAGCACGCTCCTTCAAGATGTTATTTTTATAATCTGGGTAGCAAATATATTTTAGGTTTTATATATTTAAAACTTCTTTAAAGGCATAAAAATACATTTGTAAACTATTTTGGATACATGTTGCTGACACTAACAATCTTTCCATATCTTCAGTAGCACTTCCAGCTTTCCTGATTAGCATCCAAAAGGAAACTACATTTATTTTACATAGTTACATACTGTAGTTAAATCAAACAAATCATTGATTATATTCTACATCTATTTTAATATTTATTTATAATATTATAGCGCTGCACTGTTTTTTCAGACATACTGTAGTTAGTCTGGCTGATAAAAGACCATCCAGTTCAACCATAAAAAAACAAAAACAATTTATAATCCTACACCCACAGTTGATTCAGAAGAAAAAAAAAAAACAGCAAAGCATGATCCAATTTGCTCCTACAGGAGAAAAAATTCCTTCCTGATCCCCCGAAAGGCAATCGGATATTCCCTGGATCAACTTTACCTATAAATAGTAAACAGTTATATTCTGTGTAGTATTTTTGTTGTTATATTTTTATTTGGCTTGTATATGCTGTTTTATATAAATTGTTTTCCAAATAAACACTTAAAGGATAAATTCAGCTTTTGAACATATTACATGTTACACCCGTATTTAGGACGTAACAGGTAACATGTTCAGCAACCCCCTTTCCCATGACACCCATTTCATACAGCGACATTTTTAAACTAAAGATTTCTGGGTAGATGCCACTATGTGATTAACCAAAAAAACCCACTTTGGAAGTAAAAAGGACCTCTGAATATATTCCATTTTTACGTGAAAGGCCAATAAATGAACAGTCAATAAGCCTCCCTAAGTGGAAAAATAATTCCTGGATAAGTACAATATACTGTATGTGGTAAACCCCCTTGGGACAATCTAGGCTTCTATTGGTGTAGTCTGTTAGTAAGCCTATTTGGAGGGGCAAATCCATTACTATACTACAGAGGAAAGGGGCTCCTGAACCAACAAAGATACTGCACCTACCTTGATATTTTCTATAATTCCCTGCTATTGAAGACTTAGAACAGTTATGGACACCAAAAGCAGCAAGTTTTATTGGTTTATTTTTTTCTAGTAAGCCTTATAAGCCTGCTTTATAGAATCAATTTCCCAAAATTCCCTGGTGAAGACATGGACCGATGACTGCCCCACTGTCAATCCAGGCTCTCATTGTTTTCGTCTTCATTAGACTGCATAAGAAGCCTGCTTGTTTTCAGTTTCCTTCAACTGGCTCAGGATGACCCTACAACTATAGCAATTTTTTTTTTATATACAGAAGACATTAGTTTGTATTCGTCACTCAAAATGCACCTTCAGTTGTCCCCTCCAAATCTGTTTTTTTTTTTCTTTGCAACTGTAATCCGCCTTTCAGTTAGAAGGTGGCTATGCTCATTCTCCATGGTCCCACCGTAGGGAGAAACATAGCCACCTTCTCTTACTTGCTTCCACAATAGACTATGGAATTTGTAGTGTGCATAGAGCAGTGAACATGGCCGCAACGATCTTGCACTGCTCGATCCAAATAAAGAAGCAAGGGGGAAAAGTAGAGGTTTGTTAGCTCACAGGGGACATTACAAGTAGGCAGAAAAAACACAATATGAAATGATTTCATGAAAGATAGATTCCCGGCTCAATAAATAGTGGATGTGTATGAATTATTTTTGGAGGACAAAGATATAATTTAGTGTCACTTTAAATGCATCTTCTGTTTTGTTTTTATGTATGCTGCTTATATAACATAATTACATTTCTTTATGCACCGTACTCTGTGAAAACAAACTCATATAGCAGTTGGGTAAATATTTAATTACCAATATGGAGATCCTCCTTTTTATACTGAATCAGGTCTGGGGGTCTCAAGCAAATTTCCTTCATGTTGACCTCTTTCCTGTAGAGAAAAAAGAAGTAGTGATAATCTGATCTATTATTTGACCTGATCACTGTGCACTTCATTCCATTCACTTCTCCGGCTTATTAATTGATGATTTGCTTATCACCCTTCCCTCCCCCCTACCTATTACCACCATGGCCTGATTCTCCTATTTTCCAGGATCCTTTAGTGAAATCCCCACTCCTAGGCCTAATATAAGCTACATGTGTGGTGTGCTGCAATGTGCGTGCATTTGGAAGGTGTGTTGGGTGCTATTAAAAATGAATGATACCACATTGCACCTGCAAGAAAAACACGTTTTCGTGTGCTGTGGGAATGCGTGCAGTAATAAAACGTGTTACCGCAGTGCACTGATGTGAATGGAGCCTGAAGCATTATTGTTAAAGGTATTACATCCCATAAGCCTGGCAAAACCAGTGCATCTTTGGGGTTTTTTTTTAATAGATGGAGCCGGATAGACATGGGGAGTGAGTTCTACAGTGTTGAAGCTGTATGTTGGAAGGCCCATACACCAGGATAGGGTAAGGTTAGTCATATAATCTGTGGATTCCTGAAGGGCCTAAAGGGCGTAAAGCTCCACATAAGTGAACCTAAGCTCTAACAGATTTGCAAAGAACATAGCTGTGCCTAAGCATGTTCCCTAATAAAATGTTCATTTTGTTCCAAATTTCTCCTTAGGCGTCACTCACAAGACCATATTAAAATACTCCCATGTACACCAGATCTTTCTGGCAGGAGCTGAATTATGTGCCTACAGGTATACAGCATTTAGAAGCATAAGCGTGTAAATTCATTCTGCTGGCTGGAAAATTCATTTATTCTAGCAACTAGAATGCATTAATGTGTTTGCTCACGTAAATATATAAATTATGCCAGTAAGCTCCTCTTCAAACATAGGTTCAAGGCACATGCCCCTGAACACTGCTCTATAGTATGAGTGGAAATGCCACAATGTCCATTGTCACATTGGCTAAAATAGAGTTGCGTCAGAGGCATGAAAATGCCTAAAAGCAGCCTTAATGAGGTCCTAAAAAGCAATGTACTTCCTGTGCCTGCAACCTGGGCACATACTGTACATACACAGATTGGCTGCCTCGGTATAACTCCCACTAAAGTCAGCTGCTAGCAGTTTGAAATTCACAGTGATACATATGAAACCAAAGGATACTTACGGTTGAGGTTTACTCATGTGATAACCATAACCTGTGAAGGAGAAACATTGCATTTAAACACTTGGATTAATACCAATAGAAAACTTTCATTAGAACCATCTATGTTGCATTTTTGTATTTTTAAAAACATGGCCTACTTTATTTCCAGTAAAAAAACCATTACATTTTAGTGTGTCCACATAATATTCCCTTTTGAATTTTTGAAGATGTCAAATTTAAAGTGTTACTAAAACCAGGACCCTGCATTCACTATCTGATCTCCCACAGTACATACAACAAGGAAATGCAATTATTTTAGTAAATATAAACTGCTAAATACTTTTTCTCTTTAGCATTTAGAGCAGTCTTGTGACTTCAGCAGAGCACTGGTTAAAGCTTGTAGGAGTTCTCTTTCTGCTCTAGGAAGATGTGAAAGGCCTGACCCTCTGTATAGACAGTGCTGATTGGCTCTGTGCTGATCACATGCACTCTCCCAAGAAAAAAAAACAAACTCTCTAGCAATACACACCAAACTGAGCATGTGCTTCTGGTTACAAATTCAGTCTGTATCAGGTTGTCATTTCAACAAGAGGAAGGGCAGAGAAGAAAGGATAAAACAGCCTTTTTACATAATGCAGAGGATAAACCCCTTAGGTTCCACAGGGAGTATAACAAGCATGCTTTAGTGCATATACAGACTGATTTTACTGTTGTGGGTTTAGTAACACTTTAAAGTTTATGTAAACTTTAACAATGAAATTCTCCTATTTGGTCACTATGAGCTTGTTAAATAAACTTTTTTTGTTACACCTGTTTTGTAAGTTTATCTTACCCTAGGTTCACACCTAAGTGTTTTCCAGAAACGCACTACAGTACATTTAACATGGTTTCCTATGGGACAGGTTCACATCTCTATGTTTTCACCCGTGTATGTTTTGGAAAGGGTCAGGGACTTTTTTGAACACAAAAATGTACCTTTTTGGTTCTATAGAATTCAATGGAAACACCGCAGAAAAGCATGTAGTGTGTTTTTTCACTGCATTTTTGCTGCGTTTTTCATTTTAAATCTACCTAGCAACAAGAACCCCCCCCCACAAAACGCATCAAAAATGCATGTGCAAAAATGCAAAATGTGCTGCAGAAATGGATCAAAAGCAGAGTGCATAGGTGTGAACCTAGCCTTAGAGCTGCTTCACATTAGATGCAGTCCAGTGCGGTTTTTTTTTCTCCATAAAAAAATGCATGCACAGTGTTTTCCATGTATTCCAGTGGCCATAGTTTCACACCAGTGCAGTCAGTTCCAGTCAGTTTCCGGTGCAGAAACAAAAGTAGCACATGCTGCATTTTTACTGCACAGAACTGTACTGGAACATAGCAAACTATCAAACTCTATCGGAACGGAGTGTGGTGTGAACTGTAAGCAAAAACGTACGCAGAGTGCGTTTTTGTAGTGTGAACTGGCCCTGAATCAACGTTTAGAAATGATGTAAGCTGATAACATCCTGTGATCTCTGCCTGTGTTTGCTAGGCATTCTTGGAACGCGTTTGGCAGAAACAAGCATTTCTACCCACATTTCTGGAAATACACAAAATTGTGCCAAAATATGCATCACGCTTGTGGTGCTATTATTTCCTGATGGTGCCCCAAATGCTGGTAGCAGTCCCAAATTTTGTCAGGCATAAAGGGAGTGAAAAATGTGGCTAAATCGGCATTGCAAAACATGCTTGGGTCAGTTAAAAAAAAGGTACATAAGCTACATGGGCACATTTGTCACACGTAGAGCAGCTCATTCAAGGACTACAGAACCGTGTTATGGCTAATAGGAGAGGGGCAGTGTTCTGTAGTGCTGTCTTGTTTCTGTTGTCCTAATACAGACATCTGTTAGTGAGTAGAGAATGAGTATGGCCATCTTAGGACTGGAAGTGTGTTACTGACTGTATTACCAGGTGAAAATAAAGGGAAAAAGACTAAAAAAGAGGAATGCAGCAACCACATCTTAGGTGGTAAACTGCAATATTTTACATTCTTGTTTTTGGGTTTAGATATACAAAAGAGATATACTGGAAGTGATTTTCAGGATGAGCGTAGCTTAAAAATATAAAAAATGCTTGTTGGGAAGAAATTTCACATCCACAACAAAATTAAAGATTGAGCTTTTGTTGAAACGTAACCAAAATTAGATTAACATTTTGATGGCTGCTTAGGAAAAATTTGTTTGGAAGGAAAATAACCCAAGCTCTGACATGGTGATCACTGGCTTTGTTGATAAACAAAGCCAACCCTAACGCTAACCCTTTGCTTATAAAGAAAGGTACATGACTTCATTATAAAAGTCAACTGATCTCAATGTTAGCACTGCCAAGGTGATCACATGACTTTGTATATAAAGAAAGATTAATGGTTAACATTACGATAAGCTTTTTTTGGACAAGAACAGGCTCAGGATAGTTGAAAGGAGGGGATCTCATTTGCCACAATTTGTGGAGCTGGAGAGACATGCAGGTATTGAAGTGGTTAAGATATACTGCTTGGTAATGGTGCACTAATTCAGCACATCATTAATATACAGGTCTGTAATGAATACTTCATTCATAAATCATCCATAATCCCCTTCCTCTGTTCTGAGGGGAAGGGAAGCGCCCAAATATAAACATTTGCGGCATTTAAATTTGTGATTTTTGTGATTGGCCATCACAGCAATTACAAGGCACAGAGCTATTATGATTGATTCAATGCATTTTGCCAGTGATCTGCGCTTTCTAATGACAGCACAATCTCATACACCGTGCACACACATGCACACAAGTAGTAAACACAGCAATGTTTTTCAACAGCACTCCAAAAATATACCCACATCTCTCCACCATTTTTTTTCCAATATGGCAATATTGAAGTGAGTAACGTAGACTCCAGGTCCCTCTCTTCACTTCAAGAGTTAATTTCTCATTTTTTTCTAGGCATAAGTAATAAACAGAAATACTTTCCTTACTCCTCACTTCCTTGGGCTATAGAATAAAGTATGAATAAAGTAAGTACCTCTATTTACTTATTTATTTATAATAATAATAATAATAATTTACTCCCCTACCTCTAGAAAAAGGAGTATTTAATCATTTTTTTTTTTTATTATTATTATTATTATAATACAGGACTTATATAGCTCCAACATTTTGAGCAAGGCTTTACAATATAAAAGGAGACAGTACAGCTACAATACAATCAAAACAAGAGGATTAAGAGGGCCCTACTCATAAGAGCTTACAATCTAATAGGGTGAGGCAAGAGGTACAAAAGGTTATAACTATGGGTGATGAGCTGATGGGAGTGATAAATGTCTATTCGGAGGTGTGATAGGCTTCCATGAAGAGATGAGTGTTCAGGGATCGCCTAAAGGCAGCCGGAATAGTGAATTGCCCCTTGTGGTGCAAAGGGGATTCACTGCAAGGAATTATTATTGTCTCTGCAATTCTGCTTTACAAAACACATTTAGCCTTCTTATTGACTTCAATGCAATTCCACAAATGGCTAAATTTCATCCAAATGTCCTGCTGAAATGTACAATGAAGCAACTCCTGATTTTGCTCATCCTATCATTATGTGCTTATCAAGCTCTAAGTGGGTGCTTACGGAGTTATTTCAAATGAGATCATTTTTTAAGTCTCTTTTTTTTTATTTGGTTCATGATTGGTTGACAGCCAGGCAACACAATGATCTGAATTTAAGTTTTTATTTTACATGAATACATTTCTCTTTGGGCCGGTGCTCATGTTTCTTACTTGGTAGTCCCCTAGTCTGCAGTTATGCTTTAGGTAAAATGATACAAGCATGTCATTGTATTCTATGTATTTACATGAAATTGCAGTTGACACACAGACGGTTGGCTAGCCTGGGGCTGCTTTTTCTTATGTTTGCTACGTGTCAGAGTCTGCGAGCTGCACTTACCTTTTCTGCAGTGTTTGCGGGTGATGAGAATTACAGCTGTGAGAAGGAGAAGGAAGAGTAGAAGGGTTGCCAGGATGTATCCGAGCTGCTGGAAGAAATGCAGCCTGTTTTCCGGAATTATAACATTGATCACTTTGTTTTCCCGGATGATGGTGGAATCTGTGGGGAAAATGTAACACAAAATTATTTTAAAAAAAGCAAATCCAGGCAACAAGTGAAACCAGTTAGTGAGCTTCTGAAACCATCCAGGAAACACTGCAACTGTGCAGATAGACCAACTAATCTACCTTAAAGTCCAGGAATATTTAAAAAATATAATAGAATTCAGTTTTTTTACTGAAAAAAAAAAAGAATCTAAAATCCATCTAGTGCAAGCACCTAAAGTTTACATGTATTCCCCTGTACAGCAGCACTGGTAGAGGGAGTGACAAACGTGCTGACAAGGAAAATGCTAAAAGGAAAGAGCAGAGAGGCAAACCCTTATCAGCCTGTTACTGCTCCTTCATTATGCAATCACAGACTGGGGGCAGTAAGAGGACCTTAACTGCAATGGAGAAACGTCCAGTCACCAGACTGGCTGTGATGGCACTGTGTCAGGACTGGATGGACAGAAATACAAATCCTTTTGCAGGTAAAATAGTTACCATATACAATATGTAATTCAGTGGTGAAAGGAGTACAGAGTGAAACACTGTAATAAGCAAATATCACTACCTATGTAGTTGTCTATAGCTGGCTATGTTTACATGTGCTGTATATCTAAAAATGGTATTGTGTTGCATAGACATAGACATGGAGGGTCTGCAGCTGCCTTGAGCCAGTCTAGTCTTAACAGGTCACTGCACACATTTAAAGTAAACCATGCCCAGAGTATGCACACTAAAGTATTTATATATTCTTAAAAAAATGCTTTAAACCAAGCCTTTGTTCACCTGTTATCATAGATCCAAATCTTGTAGACTTCAGCTCCGCAACATCTTTAAGATACACCCGTTCTTAACGTCTGAAACCACTAAGCAACTTATTCACTCCCTTGTTATCTCTCGCCTTGACTATTGTAACTCCCTCCTCATTAGCCTATCTAACAGCAGGCTATCCCCTCTTCAGTCTATCATGAATGCTGCTGCCCTCATTCACCTTACTAACCGTTCCATATCTGCCTTCCCTCTCTGCCAATCCCTCCACTGGCTTCCCATTGCCCAACGAATACAATTCAAAAACATTAACAATAAAATATAAAGCCATTTATAAGTCTTCCCCAAATTACATCGCCAAACTTGTCTCCAAATATCACCCAAACCGTCCTCTCCGCCCCTCCCACGACCTCCTGCTCTCTAGCTCCCTTGTCTCCTCCTCCCATGCTCATCTCCAGGACTTCTTCAGAGCCTCCCCCATCCTCTGGAACTCTCTACCCCAATCTATCTAACTATCGCCTACTCTGCCCACTTTTAGGTGATCTCTGAAAACCTATTTCTTCAGGGAAACCTATCCCGCCTTCAGCTAATAATGGAATCTTCTATTCCTCCTATCAGTTCATCCCCCACAGTTATTACCTTTTGTACCACCAGCCCCTCCATTTTGTAGGGCAGAACCCTCCTAACCCTCTTGTATTGAACTGTATCATTGCTGTATTGTCTCCCTTTATATTGTAAAGCCCTGAGCAAACTGTTGGCGCTATATAAAACCTGTATAATCATAAAATATTAATAGGTAATGTGGAGAAATTCATCTTCAAATTTTACAGCAGAAACACTGACATCTTAGCTTATTTCTCATTACTTTCTGCTGCACCAAAATCATGGCAGGCTACAAGTCTTCTAATGTAAACACATAGCAGGTGTTTCTATGCTGTTACAAACCAACTGAACTCTGACTTTAAAGTCTTAATGTGTGTGGATATTTGAGAATGTATTTCTTCACAGTACAACCAGTCAGAGAGGTCAGTGATGGCTTTTTGTTTAAAGTTCTATTAACGCTTGTTAGAAATATGTAAATGCTTTAATGTCCATAGTCTGGGCACATGGACACTTTAAGGAGAGATGGGGTAACCTCTAGGCAAGGTTGAGCTTATTTTAATCACTGCCTTGTGTAACCTAGTGTAGGTGTATCTGGAGATTAGATTAGGGAACTGTACAGAAGAGCTTTAAAACTGACGTACATTATTAAGCCCACCTGCAGAGCAATATTTGGACATAATTCTATACAAGGCGTGTTGGAATGATTAAGTCATTTTGTTCAAGATCCTCCCCCCTTGTGTCATGTGATTATTTTAATAAGATCCAGTGCTACAGTGGTCAATTAGAGGCAGCATGTTGTCTGCATAATACCACAGTTGCATTTAACTGTACAAATCACAAACAAGACAATAGACAGATTTTAGCCCAACATAGGTCTTGGCAGTGGTGCAGTAATCAAACATGAAAATTTGCCTGCAGAAGCTTCCTATAATTAAGACTGGTCACTGCTGTAGCAATCGTACGTACAGAGATGGACGCGGTCATCCATCTTGCTCAAGACCCTCCATCTTGTATCCCTCTCTCCTTCCAATCCCCCTCCTCAGGAATGTGGTGTGTGTGTGTGTGTATGCTGAGCTCAAAAGGCATCAGGCCCCAGCTGGAGAGCTTCATGGTTATAAATCCCAAATTAGCTGGTGCCCGGGTGTCTGTTAGCTTCTCAATCTGAGATAATCGTAAAACCATAAACCAATCCTTCACTGGACTTCAAAGACATTCCAGCTAGCCGTAAAACAGACCTCACATTTAAAACCCACTTTTCCATATAATTTTATATCTTAAGGTAGGAAATAATTACATAAACATAAAGCATATATTCGGATAGCTCAGCTTAATGCGAATCGTCTGATATCTTACACCCTTAGTGGAAGTCTACAGGAGAGCAGAAAGCCATATAGTTCTAGCTGGAATAGTCAAATAAGGCATGTTTGATATCTAGACATTCAGCAGACGATACTGCATATTAATCTACCCGTGGATAGAATGTTATATGTACCTAGGGAAGGTTATTGCCCTGGTATAACTTGTGAGGGATTTTGGTTCTAGTCTGAGTCCCCCGCTTACAAAACCCCTCCCCAAATGAGGCGATTGGTTCTCTGCTGTAAGGAGACACCCTGCTGAGTTCCTAGAAAAAGGCTGTTATGCTTGGAGCAGTGAGTTGAAGTTGAAGAAATCTCCCTTTTAACATCGGAACCAACTTGGGAGAATGGCACCCTTTTGCTCTGAAACGTGATTGATTAACCCAGGACTTTTGGCAAGTACTCTACCTCTCTAAAACTTCTTTCTGTTATCTCTTTGCTGTGTTATTGCTCTCTGTATTTTTATATATATATATATATATATATATATATATATATATATATATATTGGCTACATCATAGTCTGTAAATATTGTTATTGCACCCTTTTGACCTTTTTAGTAATAAATCCTATAATCTGAAAAGCGTTGAACAGTTTCTAAAGCTCTTTAATGCAAACTAAGAATCCCAGTCTCTGAAGAGTGCTACTGTGTGTTGTAAACCTCTATATACCTCTGCCTGCTGTGACAGTGGTATACAGACGATTATTCAAACGTACTAGTGTTATTGCTAATATTGGCGAGTTTGCTCCTTTTCTCTACAAAAAGGCGGTGGTGGCAGTGTGAAGGGTTAATTGCGTAATTAACCTGACCCAGTAACAATCGCTCTCAGGCTGCAGGTACATAGATTGTGGTCCATTAGCTGGAAAATCTTTGTGCAGGGTGCAGCTGAGCGTGGCATTGTTACGCACGTTTTAGATTGGCTAGTCCTTCGGTCACGAGTTGGTGAGAAGGGCTGGGGGTCTGATGCCACGATCGTCACAACTGCTGATCTCTGCTTATACAGGGTGACAGGTCTTGTCTCCGCCCCCTCCTGTAGTTTTCTTCAGGCAATAGGGGGTGGGGTGTACTGGCTCCCTCCTACAGCTCTACTTTCTGTACAAGTTCTGTGTAGCCCAGTGATGATGTCACTGCTACTTTTACAAGGTAATATCTACGTTTGCAAAGGTATTTGTTGAGCACAAAGTGAATTTAAATCCCCTGAATCATGTAATTATTTTAATAAGATCCATTGCTACAGTGGAGACAGCATGTTATCTGCATAATATCAGCAGTTGCATTTAACTGTACATATCACAAACAAGACAAAAGACAGATTTTAGCCCAACATAAGTCTTGGCACTTGGAAATGTGTGCCCTTGCATTAAGTAGAGCTGTGCAAAGTGTAAAGATGGTTTACAAAGAAGTGCACCAATAAGCAACCAATCAGATTTCACTTTAGTGGTATGCCACTGTTATATGTTTTACTTGACAGTGTCCCCCCTGCGTTGCGAGCTCTATCTTTCTCTGCCATCAAAGATGGATGGTGGTATTGTTCTTCATTTGTACTTAATAAAAATATGGAAACACAGATTTCCCTGACAACCAGGTTCAGAAACCAGCAAGGCTTTATTAACACTGGCAATAAACCAACAGCATGCTACAAAAATTCATGAGCTGATTTCAGCTGGTTGTTAAATGTTACAGCAAGCTACTTACTGATACTTTACCTTTGGCTGGAGCTGCTGAGGAGTCCTTGATTGTTTTCTTTGGTTCCTCTTCCTTGGGGGGCTCTTTGGGAGGCTCTTTAGGAGGTTCTTTAGGAGGTTCCCTGGGTGGATCGTAGATTTTTAGATGAAAGATTCTACGTTCATGAAGTCCACAGTAATGATGGTGAAGATGGCAAGAGTAGTTCCTTCATCTCCTTTTGTCAGGTCCGATATATGAAGGGAAAAGTCTCCATGGGCAAACGCTTCATCTGTGATGTTCATCTTTCTTCTGATGAATAGAGGACCATACGACCGCTGCTCCCCAGAAGCATACATGTCGATCAAGCGATCAGCTCTGTCATGTGGGATTCCTGGGGCTTGCCGATCCCAATGTACCACTTGCTGGTCTGTTTCTCGGTGGCGATCGGTCCATATATGATTCCAGTTCTCACATGGTAGTACCACGTCAGTGCCAACTAAAGCCACAATAACGACTTTTTCGCCATCCCAATACATCTTTGCTTTACGTTCTAAAAGAGTAGAAGTATTTTCCGTAATGAAATGCTGAACCCCAAATGTTGTTTCTGATTAAGAATTCTAACAACAATACCAAAAAACTCCAAACTAGCAATTTGCAATGTATATGTTTATTAAACTGAGCTAAAAGGAGATATAACATTAATTTTACACCAGGTTCCAATCTAAATCCAATACACTATACACGTGTTTACAATAGCACTGTTGTATACCTGAGTCCAGCAGTGCACAGCCATTCATGTCTATGGGAAACTGAATGCTGCACGTGGGCTGCCTGGGTGGAGGAAAGGCACTCGCATTTACATTGAATGGGCACAGAATCCTTAGAAGGTCTAATTTAAAATTAGTTGAATGTATTATTATGACATAGCTCCCCCACATACGTGTACAGTCTGGCCTTCACATTTCTAACACACTTGCTCTGTGAAGTTTATTCTCACCTGACTTGGTGGTGTTCAGCTGGACTCTGACTGTTTCATCCAGGTGACAGTAATGATGGTGGAGGTTACATGAATACAGACCCTGATCACTTGCTGATACATCTTTCCATAGGCAATGGTTCCATAAAAAATAAAAGGGCACAACCTTATCACAAAAATGTTACAACAGACTGCACTTTATGTTAATACTTCTTAAAAGGAAAAGAAAAACATTATTTGCAACGTATTATGCTGTGAATTTGGCAACCATGCTATTGGAAGGCAAAGCGAGGGGCGGGCCTACCATTTGTGCAAACTGCGCAAATACCTTTTGAGACTTAGGGACCTATTTGCACAAGATGTGGGTTGAGCGAGTGCTCCTGGTAGATACTGGCTCATTTCTAAGGACTCATTCACACCAGTGAGCCACAGCTGCTACGTGTGCTGGGAGATGCGGTCCTGAGTTGTCAATCTCCTTCTTTTTTTACAGATCCTTACTGTAATGACACTTTGTAATACAGTTCAATTCCTTGCAGCAGAGTTGCGTTCCGGTGGTTTGTGTTGCAACCTGTTGCACTAAAAATGCAGCATGCAATACTTTTCTTCTGAGCGCTTCACAGCACTCTGAACTGAAACCATAGGAAAAAAGTAAGTTTACTTTGTCTATTCATTGGGGCTGTTCTGGAAATAGCTGCCAGCCTAGCCCCCGCGCATTTGGTGTGATCGAGCCCTCAGGGGGGTGAGGAATGAGAGACATTGTTTACCTGGATGCCCCAACTGTGATCCTGGTTTGCAATATCCAATAGGATTCCCTGCTTGGCCAGCACTGATGCAGAATGCTCACCCTATTTTTCTTGACACCAGTCTGGACTGATGTCTATCTGGAGGTGTCTGTATGTATGTACATATATCTATCTATCTATCTATCTATCTATCTATCTATCTAATCTATCGGCAATAAGTGATTGTACATGGACATTAATTAGCCCAGCCTTTGGTGACTACTTTTTTTTTTAACTGGAATCAAATTTCACATTTCTAAACAACATTTTTGACAGCCACATGGCACCAAAGTTATTTTATGTCATTCCTTTTGCAAAGATATAGTATTTTTACTATATGTTTATGGAGATAGAGTATACAGCCGTTTTAGGGTAAAAATTTCATTAACGCTGCAGAAATATAAATACCTTTTATCACCAAGGAGAAATTGCCATCTCGGAAGGCACTTGGTGACACCAGAATATGGCCTTGGTTATATCCGCTATATAAGCGTTGCTCTCCAGCTGAAAACATGTCCAGTAGCCGCTCCCCACGGTAGTACCCCTGACTGCTAATCAGGTCCCAGTGTAGAACACGCTGCCTGTCTAGAAGGTTGTCCTGTGTCCATACCATGCGATAGCTCTGACAAACCAGGAGGGCCTGAGAGCCAGTATGTGCACTGATGTTATTTACAGACACCACCACACTCTCTGGGTTCTGCTGGCTGGCGGGCACTGTGGGAAGAAATATCAAAATGTCAAAGGCTTTGTTATTTATTATTAATAATCTACAGGATTGATGTAGAGCTGACAGTATGTACAGCACTTAACAATAACAATAAAATATACGCAGTAACTTGCAGTAACCCATACTAATCAGAAGTTGTCAAGGACTCATAAGTTGCAAAATGTTTTATGTATTGCCTAGTAGGCCTGAACACTGATAAATGTAGTCTAGTATCATGCACCTGGCAAATCATCTCTCCAATTGTGCGCCAACTATGCTACTTTTGAATTGTTTAAGTGGTGCCATTTTCCTTTTTGTTAAAAAGTTAACTAGATTCTATAACTGAGAGATTCAGGCTAGATTTAAACTCCAGGAAAGGCAAATATTGTGTAAATATAAGAGCCATGTATATTGTTAATTGAATTTTGGTGTGCTTCGAGTATTTCTTCTAGATCTGTGCAGTAATACAACATGGAAATTTGCCTGCAGAAGTTTCCAATAACTAGAAAACCTACAATTTCTGGGGAAATTGTGTGAAGTGTTCTTGCCTCCACCTGTAGTCTACAACTGGAGTGGGCGGAGTAACTGAGTGGAGTGGCTTGAAAATGAGGGAGTGATGGCAGTTTATAAATCATGTCCTGATTTTTCAGCTCACACTCTAGCTTTTGTCAGCTCCCACTCTAGTTTTGAACATTCCGCCATTCATTCCTATGGGACCAATTTCACCACAAAAACGCCGATATTTCGTAAACCATTCGGCGAAACGTTCCACAAAGTAATAGCACACCAATCGGGAACAATCCGCAAGTTTCAATATATTACTGTCTATGTAGTGTAAAAACTGTGGGAGGAGTTAGGGTGGTAAATTTGGCTATAATAATAAGAATATATATGTGAGATAACAGTAAGTGATCTTGCCATGCAAGAACACTAAATTAAGACTGGTCACTGCTGCTCTCTCCTTGTGCAGGGTGTCAGGTCTTGTCTGCGCCCCCTCCTGTATTTTTCAGCAAGCAATAGGGGGTGAGGTCTACTGGCTCCCTCCTACAGCTCTGCTCTCTATACAACCTATGTGTAGCAAAGTGATGATGTCACTCCTGATTTTCCAAGGTAATATCTATGTTTGCAAAGGCATTTGGTGCACACAAAGTGGATTTAAATCCCCTGTAGCTTTTGAGCAGTATATTTAAATGAAATAAGCAAATGTTCCTTGGCACATACATTTGAAGATATCCACATTTAAAATATCGGAACTCCTCCAAGAATTAGTCCTTTTTAAAATTTACATATAACTTATTCTTTAGCACTCTCTTCCAATTTTATATATTGCAATAAACAATACTATATCACAAGATGTTCAAAAACATGATTGAGTATGACTGAGTATAAATAGTAGAAATAATACATGGTGTAAATTCATTTTTGCAAAAAAAAAAAAAAATAACACTGGATAAGAAATGCTGTAACATTTTATTTAGAAATACAATTAGTTCCTATATACTTTTTGCTGTACTGCGAATGATTGGCAGTCAATCAGGCTAAGGAGATTCCAGGGGTCACTTTGTTCTGAGTACACAGAGGGCCCCAGTTATGTATTAAAAAGCCCATGAGAAACAGAAATATAAAAGACTGGATGGTACTAGAGTGGAGAACCACAAAAACTGGCAAAATAAGGTAATCAGATACTAAGGGGAATATAAACCAGGGACAATAGATATACTGTACTAAAAAAGAAGAAGATACAATAATGGTGAACTTGTGCTTTAAAAATCAGAGAGACGTTACAGCTAGAACTTCACATTTCAGTGTTATGGAATGTAAGACCTGCAGGTGCCAGTGGATGGATTTTCTATTATCATAACTCTGCTAAATTCCAATATAATGTCTTCATCACTGGCTGGGAGGACAGAAAACTAAATTACAGTGAGAATAAAAATAAGTGCTTCTAAATGTTTTAACATCTTGACAGTTTTAGAATTCTGTGTCCCTCAAGATCATCCTCTGAAGAAGGTCTACAAGGATCTACAAGAAGACAAAATACAACACACTAGACCAGTGTTTTTCAACCTTTTTTGTGCAAAGGCACACTTTTTTCATGAAAAAAATCACGAGGCACACCACCATTAGAAAATGTTAAAAAAATTTACCTCTGTGCCTATATTGACTATATATAAAGTAATTCTCTTGAATAGGAATCAAACACAAAGAAATTATTTTATAATTACTTTATTATGAAATAATAAAGTATTTTATAATTGGACCCGGGGGCCGGACCAAGAGTAGATGAATGATGTGTATGTGTCATCCATAGTAAGTATAGTAATATTCCCCCATAGTAAGCATAGTAATTAATCCCCCATATAGTAATTCATCCTCCATATAGTAATTCATCCCCCATAGTAATTCATCCCTCATATAGTATTTCATCCCCCCATATAGTATTTCATCCCCCCATATAGTATTTCATCCCCCCATATAGTATTTCATCCCTCATATAGTAATTCATCCCTCATATAGTATTTCATCCCTCATATAGTATTTCATCCCTCATATAGTATTTCATCCCCCATATAGTATTTCATCCCCCCATATAGTATTTCATCCCCTCATATAGTATTTCATCCCTCATATAGTATTTCATCCCCCCATATAGTATTTCATCCCTCATACAGTAATTCATCCCTCATATAGTAATTCATCCCCCATATAGTATTTCATCCCTCATATAGTATTTCATCCCCCCATATAGTATTTCATCCCTCATATAGTAATTCATCCCCCATATAGTATTTCATCCCCCCATATAGTATTTCATCCCCCCATATAGTATTTCATCCCTCATATAGTAATTCATCCCTGATATAGTAATTCATCCCCCATATAGTATTTCATCCCCCCATATAGTATTTCATCCCTCATAAAGTAATTCATCCCTCATATAGTATTTCATCCCCCACAGTACTATTCCCCCCCCCCCCTTCTAGTAAGCCAAGTCCCCCGTGTCAATTCACTTACCTTTTGCGTTCCTCTCGCTGTCTTCCCGCGCCGTTCGGGTCTTCAGGGCGGACTGTGAGAGGAGCCTAGCTCCCCTCCCCTCACGTTCGGCACGCTGCCCCGCCTACACACATCCTGACAGCCACATCCGCAAGCCGGATTAAAAGGTCCGCGCGGACTTTTGGGGCTGCCAACCGAGAGGAGGCAGGGGAGCGGCCGACCGAGAGGAGGGAGGGGAGCAGGCGCCCGGCACACAGAAGAGCCGCATTAGACTGGGTAAAGAGCCGCATGTGGCTCGCGAGCCGCGGCTTGCCGACCACTGAATCATTAGATTCTAATGATTGGTCTATTTGTGAGCCGAAGCCACATGTTACAGATGAAATTGGAATTTTTCCCACGGCACACCAGACAATATCTCACGGCACACTAGTGTGCCGCGGCACAGTGGTTGAAAAACGCTGCACTAGACAACTGCCACTCATTTTGCCCCATGATGGTTTACAAAAAGTTAGATAAAAAGATAACTAAAAGAGTTTGAAAAGAGTGTGAAAATGTTAGAACCTCTGTCTATGTCTCCATTTGAAGAAATTTCCTCTCACTGGTTGTCTGGGTGACAGAGCCAGCAAATCAAAAGAAATATGGAGACAAAGAGAACACCAAGGATACTTTTTATATGAAAATGTAAATATTTAATACATCTGTTGGGTTTTCATTATTGTTAAAGTCTTCTTGATCAGGAAACGCCTCTTCCTAATATTTTTTTTTTCCTTGTGTCACTTAGACAGGAAGTGAGGGGAAATCTCTCCAAAGAGGCATTGCAAGGCTGGTACTGTGACAGGGGTTCTAGCCCTTTCTCACTCTATCTAAACTTTATAAAAGGTTTTGGCAGAAGTTGGACATTAGGACTTTCTATGCTTGTTAGGCACATCATTCAGCAGTGTTTTCTGTTATAATTTAACAGACTACCTTGACATCTCAGTGTCAAACTCTTCATGTTTCTCAGCACAGGCTCGGGAAGGCCATGGCAAAGTAGGAAATTTGGGCTAGGCCAGTTACCAACTGATGCAAATGTTTTTTCATTCAGAAAATTCACCTGCCTAGTGGGGTAAGGATGTTTTTATTTCCCTTGAAAGGCAAAGCTTGACAGTAGTGGCACTGGGGTTTTTGATTTACCTTCCTCCAGACCAAAACCTCTAGAGCAGCGTTTTTCAACCACTGTGCCGCGGCACACTAGTGTGCCGTGAGATATTGTCTGGTGTGCCGTGGGAAAAATTCCAATTTCATCTGTAACATGTGGCTTCGGCTCACAAATAGACCAATCATTAGAATCTAATGATTCAGTGGTCGGCAAGCCGCGGCTCGCGAGCCACATGCGGCTCTTTACCCAGTCTAATGCGGCTCTTCTGTGTGCCGGGCGCCTGCTCCCCTCCCTCCTCTCGGTCGGCCGCTCCCCTGCCTCCTCTCGGTTGGCAGCCCCAAAAGTCCGCGCGGACCTTTTAATCCGGCTTGCGGATGTGGCTGTCAGGATGTGTGTAGGCGGGGCAGCGTGCCGAACGTGAGGGGAGGGGAGCTAGGCTCCTCTCACAGTCCGCCCTGAAGACCCGAACGGCGCGGGAAGACAGCGAGAGGAACGCAAAAGGTAAGTGAATTGACACGGGGGACTTGGCTTACTAGAAGGGGGGGGGGGGAATAGTACTGTGGGGGATGAAATACTATATGAGGGATGAATTACTTTATGAGGGATGAAATACTATATGGGGGGATGAAATACTATATGGGGGATGAATTACTATATCAGGGATGAATTACTATATGAGGGATGAAATACTATATGGGGGGATGAAATACTATATGGGGGGATGAAATACTATATGGGGGGATGAATTACTATATGAGGGATGAAATACTATATGGGGGGATGAAATACTATATGAGGGATGAAATACTATATGGGGGATGAATTACTATATGAGGGATGAATTACTGTATGAGGGATGAAATACTATATGGGGGGATGAAATACTATATGAGGGATGAAATACTATATGAGGGGA